GACTGTATATCTTGTAATGCTTGACCTCTAATTGCAATTCTTAATATTGACCTAAATCTTCTAGTATATTCTTCAACACTTTCATTTTTTTCTTGTTTAATCCTTGTCAATTCTATCATTTTTCTTCTTTTAACATCTTCTCTAGTAAATCTATTAATTAATTTATTTTTTAAATTTCTATCATCATTGTGATTACACCAGTTTACTAGATTGGCTGCTACTCTTTCTTTTTCTTCATTATACCATTGTAATGCGATTCCTCTTAAACAGGTTATTGCTATATTCGCTTTATTTTGACTGTATACACCTCCTCCTATATTTCCTTCTGTTCTTCCACTTACTGTAAATGCTACTTCAAACTGTCTAATCCAATCGTTAATATCTTCATCTTCTTTTCTACTAAAAGTTAGCATACCTACTATTCCTCCATTTCCTGCAGTTGCAATTCTATTTACTATAGTTTGTCCTGCTTCTAATGCATTATCTAATGCATTAGCTGTTAATCCTAAAGCATTTTCAAGCATTCTTCTCATTTGTATTTCAGTTGCCATGTTTAATAATATATTTTCTTGAAATAAATCTTGTAAGTTGTAATCGGATAGTTCAATTTCTGTATCAGAATTTTCAATATCAGAATTCTTAATATTCAACGAATTATTCGAATCTGAATTTTGACTTAAGCCAAAACCTTCTGTATTTATAATATTTTCATCATTATTTTCGACTTCATTTTCATCGAAGTCTTCAGAATTTCCTTCCCAAATCTCATATTCTTCTGGATCTAATATTTCTCCAATCTTTTCTGAATTATTATTTGTATCCTCTTCTTCTTCATTGTTTCCCTCTGTCTCTATTTGTTCTTCTAAATATTTATCTAATATTTCTTTTATGACTCCTTCCAATTCATTCTTATTTTCTTGGAATAACTTTATAAACTTCCAATTTAAGATTTCACCATCTGTATGACCCATATTTATCATTTGTAATATTTCTCCTTCCGTTACTTCAACTTCTGCTTCTTCACATATTTTCTGTATTCTTTTTACTCTTAGTTCTGTTTCACTAACATCATTCTCCTCTCTCTCAGAACAACTTTTACATATTTCTCCTGTAAATTCTTTATTGTATTTTACTGCTTCTTTCTTCAGTATCATTTTGTTACATAACGGACATTCTGTAGCATTCATAGTATACCATCTTCTAAGTTCTCCAATTATTTTTTCATCATCTAATTCCTTAATTTTCATATAGCTCTCCATAAAATCCTTAGTTTTCATTATTTCATGTTCCACTCTGAAATTAATTATTTGTCTTATTTCTTCAATATCAATTTCATAACCGTTTTCTAACCAATAATTTCTGTATATTCTTTCTATATATTCATCTCCTTCATTTGAACTTGATTCTCCTAAATCATCTGAACTTTCTAGTTCTCCTACGTCACTTTGTTCTTCAACAAAACCTTTTGTTTCTACAATTTTCTCTATTATCTTATCTGTTAACTCATCGTTCATCCATGGTTTTGGATATTTATTTCCATCCCACCATTGATATGTTATACTTTTCTGAAACTTCTTGATTTTCTTTCTATTTTCTTCTTCTGCAATATTTTCTTCTAAATGTAATATTTCTTTAAAATTTCTCATAGTACCGTATCCTTTATTCTTAATAGTTACTGATTCTATTTCTTCTAACCATTCTTCAAATTTTGCAAATCTTATATCTAATCCATCATCTTCTATAATATATCTATACATCAACAATTCTTTATTCCCTAACAAATTCTCTTCTGTTTGATCATCTAATATGAACTCATTATCTTCACTAAGTATATAATGTTCACATATCACTTTTATTACCAATATAATTTCTATTTTTCTATAGTCTGATTTATTTCTATACCTAATTGACCTTACAACTATATCTAACAGTTTTTCTCCTTCTTTTCTCATTTTCTCAAATTCTTTATTTCTTTTCTTTCTACTAGATGGATAACTTTCTTCCCCATCCTTTCTTGTTAGTATTATATACTCCATTAATTTTACATATGTATTTCTGTTATAACTCATTGCTTCTAATACTACTTTTTGAAAAATCTTCCAAAATCTTTTAAACCAATCTCCTATCTCTATTTCATCAGTACTATAACATTTTAAACATGAAGGATCTACTTGATACTCTTCTCTTGATTCATTATGTTTTTCTATTTCATGTTTTCTTTTAATCTCTTCTAATTCATCGTATATATCAGACATTTTATTTATTTAAACATTTCATAATTTCACTTTTATTTATATTTTATAAAATTTTATCATTTACTTAACATCATTTAAATTACTATTTTATCTTTTACTTCTTTAAAATACAATTTAAATTCTAATATTTTCAAAGTTCCAGCTTTGATTCTAAATTTCTCTATACATTCTATAATATAATCTATAATCACGATTTTATTTATAAACTTTCTATATCTTGCGCAAATAAATTGTGATCAAGGCTAGGGATTATTTATAATTGGGGCCGCCCAGGGTTAGGGTAAGGAAAGTTGATTTAGGCGGAAATACATATCCTTGAAGATAACGTAGATGTTGGGGTTTCTTAGGGTTAGGTAAGAAAGGTTGATTTAGGCTGAAACTTTTACCTTTGGAAGTTAGTTAGGGTTTAGTAGCATTAGCTGCGTAGTGCAATTTCAATAGCCACACTTTAGCCACAGTCAAATCACATGAATCACGTGCCCGAGCTTTTTTTGATGGTTACGCTGGGGGAGTTTATTATTTTGTTTCTAATCTCGTGGGTGGCTTATGCAAAAGAAACTGGAATCGGATGCGCAGTTGATATCTTGCCAAGATTTTTCTGAGTACGTCATTGAAATTAAAGTTTATCATATGACCAGTAGATCTCACTTCTATTGGTTGGAAGTGTGAAGAGTCTTCACGATTATCATATGACATAGCATGTATCGTGAATAAGGATGGGTCCGCAAATGATTTTCAAATTCCGCAATATTGCGGAATTTAGTGTTGAATTGCGGTTAGTAATCCGTAATTCCGCAATTCTGATTGGCTGCCCGGAACTGTATTTTTTTGCAATCTTATATAATATATAAAAACGCCGGAACTATTAGTTTCAGTGGTTTTATTTTTATTTTTTATATAAGATATGCCGGAACTATTAGTTCCAGCGTTTTTTTTTAATTTTTATATAAAATATGCTGGAACTATTAGTTCCGGCGTTTTTTTTGATTTTTTTTATATAAAATATGCCGGAACTATTAGTTCCGGCGTTTTTTTTGATTTTTTTTATATAAAATATGCCGGAACTATTAGTTCTGGCATTTTTTTTAATTTTTTATATATAATATGCCGGAACTATTAGTTCTGGCATTTTCTTTTTATTTTTTTTATATAAAATATGCCGGAACTAATAGTTCCGGCGTTTTCTTTTTATTTTTCCTATATAAATATGCCAGAACTAATTGTTCCGGCGTTTTCTTTTTGTTTTTTCTATATAAATATGCCGGAACTAATAGTTCCAGCGTTTTCTTTTTGTTTTTATAAATTTAATAACCATATCGGCCGGTTAATTTAACGGTGTTGATAAACCGTAATATAATCCGGCCGATCCAATTTTTTTTAAAAAAAATAAATCATTTTTTTTTAATATTATATTAACGAAAAAATGATTTTTTTTTAAATATTTTTATTAATAACGAACTTATTTTTTAGACTAGTAAGTTTAAAAAAATAGTTAGTTATAAAAAAAAATATTTTTTTCCGCAATTTTTCCGCAATTCCGCAATTTTCCGCAATTCCGCAATTAATTACGGAATTGCGGATTATTTGCGGAATTGCAGAAAAATTGCGGAATTGCGGATAATTACTGATTGCGGAATTGCGGATATGTAGACTTCAAAATCCGCAATGTTCCGCAATGTCGCAAATCGCAATTATTCCGCAATTGCCTATTTGCGGCACCATCTTTANTTTAATTTTTTTAATTTTTTTATATAAAATATGCCGGAACTATTAGTTCCGGCATTTTTTTTAATTTTTTTTAATTTTTTTATATAAAATATGCCGGAACTATTAGTTCCGGCATTTTTTTAATTTTTTATATATAATATGCCGGAACTATTAGTTCTGGCATTTTCTTTTTATTTTTTTTATATAAAATATGCCGGAACTAATAGTTCCGGCGTTTTCTTTTTATTTTTCCTATATAAATATGCCAGAACTAATTGTTCCGGCGTTTTCTTTTTGTTTTTTCTATATAAATATGCCGGAACTAATAGTTCCAGCGTTTTCTTTTTGTTTTTATAAATTTAATAACCATATCGGCCGGTTAATTTAACGGTGTTGATAAACCGTAATATAATCCGGCCGATCCAATTTTTTTTAAAAAAAATAAATCATTTTTTTTTAATATTATATTAACGAAAAAATGATTTTTTTTTAAATATTTTTATTAATAACGAACTTATTTTTTAGACTAGTAAGTTTAAAAAAATAGTTAGTTATAAAAAAAAATATTTTTTTCCGCAATTTTTCCGCAATTCCGCAATTTTCCGCAATTCCGCAATTAATTACGGAATTGCGGATTATTTGCGGAATTGCAGAAAAATTGCGGAATTGCGGATAATTACTGATTGCGGAATTGCGGATATGTAGACTTCAAAATCCGCAATGTTCCGCAATGTCGCAAATCGCAATTATTCCGCAATTGCCTATTTGCGGCACCATCTTTAATCGTGAATACGTCTCCTTTGCCTCAAGCTAGAATAGAGAAATATCGTTCGAAAAAATAAATCGTGTATAATAGTCTATAATCATAGAATGGCATCATATACCTAGGGCTAGTCCCGCTCCATGTAATTTATTTTAGCTCAATGTATTGCAAATAAAAAACGTTTAGGGTACTGAGTTGACCCGCAAAATGTAGTCAATTATTTTTCTCGTGGCGATTGGTAACAATCTTTTAGACCGTACATACTAATTTTTTATTGCTCAAGCGTATATGCATGTTAATACAGGGTAATTTAGGAAATCTGGATCGGCAAATTATTGGGCAATAAGATTGCCAGCAAAGATCCAGGGACTTATATTCTCAATCTTTCTCGCATATTCTCAAAATTATTACGTATATTATTATTAAAAGACCCCTTGATGATCTTTACATATGGATAGCGTTAAATTCTTTTATTGTTATATTAAGGAGAGTCCGTTGATCAGATTCTCGCGATGCGATCATATTAACGTAATTTCCCCCAAAAGCGTATAACAAAATCGATCCTGTGAATTATATAAAAAGGTGATGACCTGGTTAGTGAATCCTTTTATCTGCCTTGTCCAAATAACAAACAAAAAATAAGCGAAACATTCAAACTTACCATAATTTACACCATCAATATTATCTCCAATCAAACAAACGAGTATATTCCGTAAAGTATTATAAAGTAAGTTAGTTTATTGCTCGGCTAGCTTCTTGAAACATGTCATCACGATCTTAATCGATTTTCCGCTATAGATGTTCCATAATAAAACGGACATATTGCTCTTCTTGTTATATATCGGCATTTTGATCTTCGCCGAGAAAATCACTGACCATCATCACGCGTACAATAGACACAGTCACAAAATTACTCACATGAATCTCGTCACATGCAACTGCACAGCAAAAGTCTGGCGCAGTATATCAAATAAATTTTTCGGTATAAGCATCTTCACGTGCCGAATTCTTGAAACTTTGCGCAGTATCGTTCCGTAATGCAGAAAAAATTATTCCTTGTATATGAGGCGGAATGGAATATTTTGAAAATGAAGTATATCGGTAAGTGTGAATTGGTAAATATTATTTTTTTTTACCTCAGTTACTAATCTCCCAAATTTATGCTGTAGATTCGAAATTACTTAATCTCGATAAAGTTCTCTTACGTGAAATAATCTTTTACATAGTCTGTGCGGGTGTTAGTGATATAGATATAGATAGGTGTAGAAATGAGTGGGATAATTTATTTAGGAAATCTAGTGTAATAAAAGAGTGTGGGGATAGAAATATATTAGTTATAAAAATTTCAAAGAAATAACTTGATGCTGGGACTCGCATTTAATGGCCTAGGATCCGCGTACTCTCCCTCTTTGATAGCATCATTTTATTTCACTTGATACTCTATAAGATGATGTGGAGAAAGTTATTCTGACGTGTAATCACGTGAATGAAGGTAATGAATCACTTTTGTGTTATCTTGATTGATTGATTAATTTTATAAGCTCGTTGAAAAAATTGAAAAAATCATTTTCTCTAAAAATCTTTTTCTTAAAAAAATCAAAAAAATTTAATAAAATTAATTTTTCATAACAAAAAGCAAAAATTATTATTAAAATGGTAAATATAGATTCTTTTTATACAGTAGTAAGACTAAACCAATTTAATTTTCCGTTTTACATAAAAAAAAATAATCTTGCTTTAAAATTTAACTTACACATGACTTCATTATAATAATATTCATAATATTAAAATAAAATCTTTCTTTTCTAGGATCAAAGAGCTCTTGACGCTTTTGAGAGCCTCACCAAAAGCCTTAATGACCTCGGCAATAATGTTAACAAACGCCTTGATGACCTCGCCAATGACCTCGGCAATGGCCTCGGTGATGTTAACAAACGCCTTAATGACCTCAGCAATGATGTTAACAAACGCCTTGATGGCCTCGCCAATGACCTCGGCAATGGCCTCGGTGATGTTAACAAACGCCTTAATGACCTCAGCAATGATGTTAACAAACGCCTTGATGGCCTCGCCAATGACCTCGGCAATGGCCTCGGCGATGTTTACAAACGCCTTGATGAGCTCGGCAATGATCTTAATGACCTCGGCGATATTGTTGACGGGCACCGATTCAATACTATCGAACTTGGAAAACGTGTAGAAAAGATGGAGGCCGTCGTATTATCAAAATTATAATTTTTTTTTTAACCTTTTTTATCAATCTAAAGCTTATTAAACAAATGATATTCTCTTATTATCATCCTATTTGATGATATCCTCAGATATTAAATATTAGTTAGTTTTCATATAGTTAGAGCAAATTAATGAAATCTATGTAATAATTTAAATAAAACAATTTGCAAATTTGCTATGAATATGTTTGTTATGTTGTCGCGATCTTAATTTTTGCTTCGCTTGAATATATTTTAGCATGTCTATATCGCAACCAAGGCAATGACTCGGTGGCAGATTACTATTCGAAGCTAATGAGCCGACAAATACAGTGAAGATCAACTCAGGTATGATTAACGCAAATATAGATTAAATGGTGGTATTCATTTGAAGAGAATGAAGCGTAAAGGATTATTTAAAGTAAACCTGATAAATTAAATTTCGCTGGGCCACAGATTGTTTGACAAAATAAATGATCACACATTATTTTTCGCACATAATCTATACATGCTAACCGGTACCTCTATTTTTCCCCAAACAAATGAGAAAAATGTGAAAGGAAGTATACACGCAACACAGGACCTACTCTAAAAGTAAATAGTGCTGACAAAAGCATATGTTATGAAAGGCTGAGGGACTCGCAATTTCGAGATCGTCAGGCGTAAAGCCAACTAGGTGTATGTGGAAGTTCAGCCAACTTTCCGCAAAAAACTTTCCCAGAGAAAATAACGCAAAATAAGGTATGTATATGCCAGAAGGGGTCCCTCCAGGACCAGTTATGTATGTATGAGAGCGAAAATTTCTCACAATGGTTTCTTGTATTTAGGAAAGCGAAAAAATGGCCAATATCACTCTCAACTGTCTTATTGTCCCAAAAGGGGATCTCATGAATATTTCATTTATTAAAGTAATGCAAGCGATTACAATTAGCTCAAGCAATCATGTTAGCGATCTAGAAACTGTAATTCAAGACAGACTGGGGGCACCATTCAACAATATACCTCTCAAAATTTGTAAAATTCACCCCGGAAGTGTTACTGAAATGCAAAATGCGCTTAATTTCCGCCTGAAGAACCTCTAGCAGACCGCTTTAACGTCCTAGTTTACTCCCTATCTCAATTGTAATTTTCTGTATTATGTAATAGCGATATAGTCGCAATTTTTATGTATTTGTAGGCCGGCTTCCGGCAACGATTTATTTCATAAATAAAGTATTATTATTTTATCGGTACATGAGAAATGAGTCACGTGAAATGATGCAATGCCTGTGCGACATAAAAGCCTATATTAACGCCCAGTATTTTCTTTATCTCACTCCGGAACGTAACACTATTTTTTATCCGAGCCAAACTACCTATAAAAAAGCGTTATGTCTACCTCTGAAATTAATACTTCCACCGCTACTAGCGTCACGGCAACGGAAGAAAAAAATGCTCCCACGTTAGCTGAGGTGGTTCGAAAATATAAAACGAAGGAGATTATAGATTTCTTGCGTAAGGAGGAGGACTTGGAGCTTGTTCAAGAAGATTATGATATAATCGAAAAGGAGAGAATTAATGGCCGTGCCTTTCTTAAGATAGCCGAAGAAAAACTTCGAAGTTATGGAATGCCAGGTCAAATCTTGCTGACTTCGCTAAGGAACTTGGCAAGCGTAAATTAAAAGCGTTCTCGTCGTACAAGAGTTTGAGGGAAGTGTTAATAAGATATGGTCTCGAAAGTGAGGGCACCGACAAAATACCATTATTTTCTCTACAAACCTACGAAATCAAAGACTCCGACAAGCACTTCGAGCATTGCATGGCGGAAATTTTAGTCAGGCTAAAAAATTACGGAACTTTGGTCGTTGATAGCTTGGAAGCCATGCGTAATGAATATGTTGTGGCAATTCTTCATACCGCAATCAATATTACAAGAGATTCTACAGGGGAAGAACTCAGCATGAGGCCTGAATACGAAGTAATAGGTGATGAAAGTACGGGACGGGTTGACTTCGCAATCAAGGTATTAGGATATTTTTTTCTGGAACCGGCGGTCTCGCAAATTTCTTAGCATTGTTTTTTAGGCCGGAGGAAGGATATACTAATATCATATTTTTTTGTTCCAGAAAGCTGAGAACCTTATTTGTGTTACAGAGGATAAACCACAACGAAATGTAGTCGAGCGGTTCGCTCAGAATATCGTCCAGCTTGAAAGTTCGTTTCAAACGAACAAGAGAAAACGAAAGCGGGATTATGAGGATGATTTCGATTATTTATATGGTATTGTCACTACGGCTCGGGACTGGCACTTCTTGCTCTACACTCCGGGGAAATTTCACAAGGTAGTAAATTATCATTTAGCATCGAATTTTCCGAAGATGCTTTGGATAAAGAATCCGTAGAATATCAAGCATTACGTAATGGCGTGAAAAAGGTTTTGGGTATAGTAGTAGGTTTATTAAAGGATAGGGCATGTGCGGAAGACGATCCTCCCTCAAAGAAAAAGGCTAGAATATCGTTCGAAAAAATAGGATGTATATTACACAGACGTCATGTATCACGGGCAGAGTCCCGAATCTTTGTATTTATTTTTGCATGTATTAATAAAAAAATTTCTTGGCAAATTTCAGCGACGGCCCGTCGCCCAAAAAATATGTGATATATTTTTTTATTTTGAATAGTTATGTACAGTGTATTAGTTATATATATATAGATCATGTCATCCGAGCTTGAATTATTGAAACAGCGCATCACTGAACTTGAGGCTGAGAATGTTGAGATTACAGAGCTCAAGAAGGAGAATGCAGAGCTAGAAAGGAGAATACTGATTTTAGAATGAGGCGAATCCCACTAAAGTGAACACTGTCACTTCAGACGATGATGTGTATTTTGGTGAGGCGAACGAAGTTAATAAGCACGATGGCGACCCCAATTCAATCAATGATGACTCCGATTCCGATAGTAATTCTGAAGATGAGATTCCAGACGATTCGGATGATGATGGATACGGTGGATACGGTGGATATAATGAATATGGTGAACGTGATAGAGGTTATTACTATCGCGACGGAGGATACGAAAGAAAAACCTCCCCAATGATGAGTCCTATTATCTCTCCGGTAACCGCCTAAGAGAATTATTGGATGAATTGCATATTCACATAGACTGAATTATATTTCTTTTTTTCGAATCACGTGGGTGGCTTAGATATCGTGCACAGTAAAACGTCATTTATTCTTCTCCGCAGTAATACACAGAAAAATGCTATGCGCAGTAGAGTAACTTCGTCATGTGGACCGATCACCTGAAATGCGCAGAAGATATTCGGTAAAATTCTTGCCGAATTAATAAATATATCATGCGCAGTAAGTACGTCATCTCTATACTTCTCCTGTGATCTAACTACACTATTTCCGCAGAAGCGCCTTAACGGCTATTTTTAGATGTCCTATTTTCGTAATAATGGCTAGGAGGATCAACAGAGTGCTATTTTTGTAACAATGAAGCCAGGGGGCAAAGGTCTTATGAAATACCATGCAAATCTTTGGGGTCAGATCGTGGTGTCAGATCAATAATTAATCTGGTAGTGATATTCACTTTTTTTCCGGAATGTTCTGGCATAATCTCCATTTGTGGATTGATTTGAATCAGCCATTTGCAGATCTACATTATTTAATTAGCTTATTGGGATTAGCACAATGATGGGACCACCTTTCTTCATTAGTATAATTTTTGACAACACCTGAAGCCGTAATTCATAAGATTTCGATTTAACATAATTATTAATCTGCCATTAAGGCGCTTTGCTAGGCGCTTTGCAGATCTCCGAACAAACGGTACATTTTTATTTAACATATTGGGATTAGTACAATGACGAAATAAGGGGTCCAGGTACGTAATTACTTGTGAATAGATATTATTGGTTTGAAGTCTGGTTGAACTCTGGTTGAAGTCGGGTTGAGACTGCGCCCTTTTTTTCTCACTATAGTTTGAAAAAAGAAGATAGTATATCTCCTAAAGGTCTTGACCGAAGGAGGGGCAAACAAGTTTGATATGTTATCTTCCGCAGATTGATAGGTAAAGGAAGCTATAAATAGTGGAACAAAAACGAAAAATGTGAAGTCTGGTTGAACTCTGGTTGAACTCTGGTTGAACTATGGTTGATGTGCAGTTGATGTGCAGTTGATCTCCAGTTGTATCAAAAGATAAAACCCCTTTTATGTAACAATGCCTCTAGACTATATAAACACCAAAGAAATCTATCAAAATATTTTTTTTAATCTTTTGCCTGAGCGCCTTCGGCTATAGGATCATTGCCTTCCATTAATCCTTCTACTTACACTCCAGCACCCCTGTCATTGAAAAAATGGCTGAATGGACTCATGCAGAAATTCGTACTCTTATTGATGAACGTAGAACCAGAAACGATGAGTTCCATAACCTTGGGAGAAATCGGGAAAGATTCTGGGGTACTATTGCGAGTAAGATCAATCAAGAGAATGGGATATCATTCAGCGGTCACCAATGTAAAGAAAAATTCTCGAATCTCGTCTGGGATTATAATGTAAGTTATCACTATATTTGAGAACTTTGTTGTTAGCTCTACTAACTATCCTTCATGTCCGGTTAGACTATGTGTGATTTTATGTCTGGTAAAAGTAAAGCCAGAAGTCGAACAGGTGCACGATATTTTGATGAATTTCGTACTCACTTTTGGGAGAGATCTGAGGATGAATTCGATAAAGTTCGCAGAATTAATACTTTTAACCAAAAATGAAGTAGAGGAAGTGGATATATTACGCCCATACCATCAACTAGGGATGTCGAACGTGAATTGAGATCATCTGAAAGACGGTTAAGCCGAAGTTCGTCTATTAGTCGAAGTCAGTCACCACCTACTAGCCGAAGACAATCGCCATCTGTTAGTCGAAGACAGTCCCTTCCCGTTAGAGAAAGACGTTTGGAACTCCCGCCTGTTAGCTCATTAACCACTAACGATGAAATGGATATTTCTGATACAGAGCAGTTGGTTGGCCAGAGAAGAACTTCTACGCATGAAGAACTGTCCTTATCACTTTATCCACCACCATCTTATGATATTGCCACTGCCCAAGAATCGTCAAATGTGAGGGGTAATATACAATTACATTAGCCATTAAGGTACTTTGCTAGGCTCTTCCGCACACCACTGTTATTGTTCCATTAATTAATGTATTTTTTCTATACTGTGCTATTATACCATAAATGTACTTTGAAAATATAATAAAGAGCTTTACTTTGATTTTTTAAGAGTGTTATGTGTTTCTTGAGTGTTTCATGCCCCCTTGATTTTTGAGAAAACATAAAGTTATAAATACTCTCGAACAAAGATATCCATTTAAAGCGCGTTTAATGGTGGCTTAGATACTGTGCAAAATCTGATTGGCCAACCAACCATCTCGTGATTTATCAAAACTCTAGAACTATCGGCAGGGAACTAGGGAGATCTCATGTAATACGATATACAATACATCATGCCACAAACTGATTTAGCCGAAGACACATGTAAATATAAGATTAGCTTAGCCCGAAAGATGATCCCAATCGAATTTGGGTTTACTAGTGTGTAATCTCACTAAATTGGCTACAGATCAATAAAACTGCTATAATCCATTAAAACTGTTTAACCAGCAAATCCATATAAATTTGAATCTGATATTTATTAGAGTATACTATTGCTAAATTGGCTAAAATCGCTAAAAACAGTATAAATCAATAAAATCGTTATATTCTGTTATAATCTACCAAAACACTAATATGGATTTAGATAGTAAAGCCTATTCCAAGTTAATTCATGCACACAATAGTATTGGAGGCTCTGAAGAATATATAAGAATTATTGTTGCAATATTGCCTTTAGCAGAAAGACATGATTATGAAACACCAGAAATGTGGTGCTCTCGTATTCGTGATCCATTTAGGAAAATACTAAAAGAGAACTATTCCAAGGGAATCTTTTCTAAAAATGGATATATTACAATGTATGGAAAGCTATATATAGATGATAAAATTCATAATCGTCTAACCAATTATATATATTGCAGTGTATGTAACTCCTTAGTTTTCATACCTGCAAATAGTCTTTTTGAGGATCGCTATGGAGATAACCACTTGAAAAGATGTATTTCTGGAAATACTATTTCGAATGAACATGCAAGAAGAAATGAAATTCTCCAAACTATTGATAGAAGGGAATTTCAGATCTGGCAATATAAACAATACATATTACAAAAAGAAGCTAAAATTAATCGTCTTCAGCTAGAGCTTTCATCCCAATCTAATCCACATTCAGAAAAGGATAAATTGGCATCGGTATCATATGATATTGATGGAAATTTTACGGCTAGCTATGAAAATTATGCACAATCTAAAGCAAAAGATACTATGCCAAATGCTACAAATTTCGAGCCAGCTTATATTTCACCTACTAGACAAGAAACGATTTTACCAACTTCTTATCAATCATCAAGTCCTAGCCAAAGGCGCTCAGAGCAAGGGATTACAAGTGAAATATTTATCTCATCTCAGTATGCTAAACAAAATAACTTATTACCATCTATAGACCATCTTAATCAGCCCGCATTAAGATTGAGAGATAGTACAAAAATCACATTCGTTTAACGACTGAGAAATATATTAATTATAGACTATTGAAGATTAATATCATTTAGCTAAAAGCGCAATGTATAACTTATACTTTATTTTTTATGCTAAATAATCTGCATACATGATCGCCTAGTAAAATTGGTTGAAGGCGCTATACATTTCATGTATCACCTGCCAAATTTTTCAGATTAGTCCTTAACCCAGATCCAGGTTAAGATCATGCGCTTTCTGAAGATTGATATAAATTGATCCAAGGGGTTCTCCCATTCTCTTTTATAATCACAAAAAAAGAATGTCATTTCACAGATCTCACCTAAGGCAGAGAAGAACATGTGAAGAATATAAAGCTGAGCTGGAAGAAGAAAACTATCATCTTCATAGTGAATTGCAGATAGAAGTTGATACTAATCGCCAGAATGAGAGACGAATTAATCAACTGGAACGGGATTATACCCGATGTGAGCAAGAAATTCAAAATCTAAATAAGGAGATAGAGCGTCTTGAAAATGCTTCGAAAGAAGAGATAGTAGAGTTAAAATCTGAAATCTCTACCCTAAAAAGTCAGCTATATCAAGCTAGGAATGATGTGCGAGATAAGGGAAAATATATTTCTAGTTTAGAAGAGCAGTTAGTAGAATCTGAGGAACAAGTTAAAAAATTGCGATGCCGGATCAGAAGCATCTCATCACGAAAAAATTCGCCTGAACGAGAGAATTCTCCAGACTTGTATAATTCTGATGATAATATGGCCACAATCACAGAGCTAGCAAATGCTATAGATGGTTATGTGGATAATAGAACAACAACTAGGGATATTCTTATAGACCAAATAAAAAGAGCTACAAGGCAGATACGCCAAAAAGAAAATAATTTGCATCAGGATTTAGTCCGTGAGCAACGAAGGCGTTATGATGCAGAAGCTAAACGTGATAATGAAATTATACGAAGGCAACTTGCTGAAGGTAGGATAACTAATGTTATTGGTGATCTCCATCAATATCAAACTAATACTCAAAACCAGGTAAATAGAATGATAGGTAATATGGCAAGAAAACAAGCCCGTATAGGTG